CATATTCCTGTCTATCTACTCACAGATTCATATGTCTACCTACTGACATATTCCTGTCTACCTACTGACATATTCCTGTCTACCTACTGACATATTCCTATGTCTACCTACTCACAGATTCATATGTCTACCTACTGACATATTCCTGTCTACCTACTGACAGATTCCTATGTCTACCTACTGACATATTCCTATGTCAACCTACTGACATATTCCTATGTCTACCTACTGACATATTCCTATGTCTATCTACTGACAGATTTCTGTCTACCTACTGACATATTCCTGTCTACCTACTGACATATTCCTGTCTACCTACTGACATATTCCTGTCAACCTACTGACATATTCCTATGTCTATCTACTGACAGATTTCTGTCTACCTACTGACATATTCCTGTCTACCTACTGACATATTCTTATGTCTATCTACTGACATATTCCTGTCTACCTACTGACATATTCCTATGTCAACCTACTGACATATTCCTATGTCAACCTACTGACATATTCCTATGTCTATCTACTGACAGATTTCTGTCTACCTACTGACATATTCCTATGTCAACCTACCGACATATTCCTATGTCTACCTACTGACATATTCCTATGTCTACCTACTGACATATTCCTATGTCTATCTACTGACATATTCCTGTCTACCTACTGACATATTCCTATGTCTACCTACTGACAGATTCCTGTCTACCTACTGACATATTCCTATGTCAACCTACTGACATATTCCTGTCTACCTACTGACATATTCCTATGTCTATCTACTGACATATTCCTATGTCTATCTACTGACAGATTTCTGTCTACCTACTGACATATTCCTGTCTACCTACTGACATATTCCTGTCTACCTACTGACATATTCCTGTCAACCTACTGACATATTCCTATGTCTATCTACTGACAGATTTCTGTCTACCTACTGACATATTCCTGTCTACCTACTGACATATTCTTATGTCTATCTACTGACATATTCCTGTCTACCTACTGACATATTCCTATGTCAACCTACTGACATATTCCTATGTCAACCTACTGACATATTCCTATGTCTATCTACTGACAGATTTCTGTCTACCTACTGACATATTCCTGTCAACCTACTGACATATTCCTATGTCAACCTACTGACATATTCCTATGTCTATCTACTGACAGATTTCTGTCCACCTACTGACATATTCCTATGTCAACCTACTGACATATTCCTATGTCTATCTACTGACAGATTCCTATGTCTACCTACTAACAGATTCCTATGTCTACCTACGAACATATTCCTATGTCTACCTACTGACATATTCCTATGTCAACCTACTGACAGATTCCTATGTCTACATCCATCTGGGGCATTTAACCCTATTTAGTCAATTTAAAAGCTAAGCTGCTTGATAGAGTAGTCTAAGAATACTTAGAGTGCCACCAAAACAGCACATAACAAAATAAGAACTGACTTAAAGGAGTACTAAAACACAGACCTTTTAGCAATGTTAGGGAGAGTCTATGTCAATGCGCGCAAAAAAAATAATTGCTGTTGTTACTCAATCGAGCAGCCTGTCAGCTGATATACCTCCATTGTTTCAGATGCATAATAAGAAAGAAATATCAAATAAATTTTGAAGATAACAAGATTACCAGTATCAACACTAAATGAATTAATCTGATAAAGGAGGGAATCAAATCAATCTGAGAATGATACAATATCAGAACACTTAGGTTGTTAGTTTTTAAAAAAGATGTCAGAAAATTACCAAAAGTGAAAAATATTGACTAAAATTAGAGAAGAGAAAGTATCGTCGCAAAACAACCAAATCTGACAGGTGTCTATATTTAAGCAGTTGACAAAAATATAAGTAAAAAATAAAATTATTTACCAAAAATGCCCAAAAAAAATATAGAATTGAAGATATCAACATGATATGAATGAATCTTACAGAGGTTTATCTAAGGTACATATAAACCAAGTATCAAGACTTGCCATTTTCAAGAAGGACACAAAAACGTCAAAAGTGGAGCTAAAAACTGACGTTAATGAAGACTGATTGTATAATACAATATCAAAGCAAATTCAGAAAGTGCAGATTGCAGAATAAAAGGAAGTAGCACAGAGTCTCATCAGAATAATCAAGTTGATTGTCATGTCGGAAATGGCACACCGAAATGAATAGTTATGAATATACCGGTAGTCGTAAATGTTCAACAATTGCGTCGGGCTTCAAATTTATCTGCTTCAAGATGGACTCTTTAGTAGTGAAGTGTGTCCACTGATTCACATTGAATAAACATTGAATACAATGGCATTTTGGGCATTTATTCCAAGAATCAAAAGCAGTTGAAATCGAAGTTTCCAAGAAGAAATCAAAAATAACATTTTTGACAAAAATTATAAATATATTCATTAAAAAGTTATTGTCAATGAAATAGTCCTTTTTTTATTAAGTCCAGGCATATTAAGTCCAGATATGGCTCTGTGGAATTCACTGGCAGACAGCCATTTTTGATTTGCTGGTGACAAAAATTCACATGCGTTTGTCTGATATGACGTGAAGTTTCAACTTGATCAGCCCAGGCATGTCAAACATATGGTAAAACATATCAGTAACTGCATTTTTTAAAACAATATGGCCAGCAATTGGCCAGTTTGAATCAATTCCGAAAAAATAAAATGACATTGTGTTCAACAATTTACATTTACTAAGTTTGAACATAACAGTCCATGCACATCTGAAATACAACTGAGGCATGCTTGATACATAGATCTGGAACTCTCTAATGTATGTGTAAGTTTTAACTGGATCGACCTGTGTGGGATTTAACTGTTTTTGGACTTGATTTGAAGATGAACAATCTAATCGTGTCTTGCATTATCCCAAGGTACCTATGTACCAAATTTTATCAAAATGTGATAAGAAGTTTTTAAGACTTAATTTGCTCTTAAACAAAGTTTACAGTACCTGTATTTCTTCAGGTGCCAGTAGATCAGCTTCACTGACAGTAATTGGTGCCACTTCCTCCATGGATATAGACGGTATATTGGATACAATCTTGATCTCAGGGATGGCCTAATGATACAATAAGAAACTATTTAACTTTTCTTTATGAAGAATGTATAGAGTCTATGACGAGACCCACCACAACAACTGCACACTTAAGATAAGCAGCACATAGCCAGAGGCCAAGTTCAACATTAGCTTTAATCTAAATTAGTCTTGAATAAGACATTATTAAAATGTGATAATACCAAATGCAAAATTGATGATGTTTTAATTATTTAAGTGCTTAAATTCATATTTTTATCAATATCCTATTTATACTTACTGGTTTTGGTGTATATTGGAAGTTTGACAAAGCATCTAACTTAAGAAATAGACAATTCATCATTTTGTTGATGTCAGCATGCTCTTTATTCTCTTCCTCTGCTGTTTGCTATGAAGTAACAGTACCGTAAAAACTCAATTAATTTGCGATAGTAAAAATAAATATTTTTTCAAGTGCGCAAATTAATTATTTTAAAAGCAAAAATTAGTGGTTTTTGGTGAACAAATTAAAAGAGTACTTTTAGATCGATTCAAAAAGGAGATGTTTTCATAAATTTATTAGTGATTTGTTTTGTTTTCCAATGAACACGATTACAGGACGTTTGTTTTAGCGCCTCTGAGACTCGTGGCTAGCGACATTCATGGTGTATAGTCGGGCAGAGAACACGCACTGCGTCAAGGACCACGCACCACATTACACTTGAAATGGAACAGTGAAATGGCAAAGGTCACACAAACAAACATTGAACATGTGGCTACAAAGTAGCTATCTGGCTGCACTGCCTTTTTTTTATTTTCTAGGCAGTACTGTCAGACACAAAATAAATATTTCACACACACACATACATTATTTTGTACGGTATATCCCTTTTTGTCAAGCACTTTCATCTATAATGAAAATGTGACATGAGGTCAATCGCCCGACCAATCAAAAACGCCAATTTATGCACCATAGGGAGGTTCACTTTAACTGAAAGGCTGTGATGACGGAGATCGTCTGCGATTGCGGCTACACCAAGTACTGATAACATAAAAACTCAAACAAAATGTATATTTTTAATGTCTTCATGCAATATATTCTGAGTTATCCACTTTATTCTGGCCCGCAAATTAATAGGATACAATTTTAAACATGTTTTTGAATGCCGCGAATTAAAAGGATACATTTAAAAATTAGCATTCGAAAATAAAATGGGTGCGCAAATTAATAGAGACCGCGAATTAATTGAGTTATTACTTACGGTAGACACATATTATTATAGAAAATATTATTGCATGTAGTAGTAACGATCAGAATAGTGCTGACTACTGACAAAACTTGATTACATATGTAAGTATTACACTAACCTGATTCTGTTTCAGGTACTCTTGCTCATAAATTTCACCCAAACTTTGTTTACTTTTTTCTTGATCTAGAGTTATCCTCTTCCGATATTCAAAAGCTTCCTCTTTTGGTTTTACTTTCCTCTCAACATCATCCCATGCCTCATCTTTTATCCTCTGTTTTATCAGCTGTTCCAGAGTTAGAGTTGTCTCCTCTGTGATGATGGGGGCTGCACATTTAGACATTCACAACATGATGATTAGAACTTAAACTAGATGCATCTGTAATATTCGCTATGGCTTCAATTAAATGGTGTATAAGTGTACATACAAACTGTAACTATCGCTTAAATGCCAATGTGGTCCCACTAGACAAATTGAGAAAATGTATATTCTCAACAAAAGTAAGTAAATTAATATGTACCAGGTCGGGTTGTGTGGTCAAACTCAAGATGTTCCTCCAACAGACTGTTATCTGGACGCTTTGTAGAACTTATTTCACCAGTTAGTTGCCATGGTTTATCACCAACGTTGGCGTTTTCAAGTTTGTTAATATTCTCTTTGAGCTGGGGAAAAAATTAGATGAAAAAATAGATTGTCTCATTTATTTCCCCTCATAGAAATCTTGTAATATACAAAGTTCTATTAATTCTTTTAAGATTAGCATTTTCCCATTATGGCCACATGATTGAACTGCCGAGATAAAGTAGTTTATCTCATGTTACAAAATACAAATACAAGTTGGACAATATTATGATGCAAATAACTGCCAGTATTGAATATAGGGAATATTTAAAATTAATTCAAAATTCAAGGAGCCTGGAAAATAATTTAGGTCTGCTATTTGAGCTACACAATGTGATCCACAGTACTGATTCAGAAGTTTATAATATTCACAGAAAATTGTTATTAAAACAAAAAGAAAGAATTTAATTGTTTACAGTCAGATTGCACAGTTTATCAGAAATTGACTAATTAATGCCAATTAGGTAATTAATAAGCATTGTTTTTTTAAACTAATCACTGCTATGGATTACCTGCGGAGAATACAGGTTCATATAAATCATATCAGGACACTTGGGAAAAATACAGGTACATATAAATCATACCGGGACACTTGGGGAGAATACAGGTACATAAAGATCATGCCAAAGACACTTGGGGAGAATACAGGTATATATAGATGATACCAAGACACCTGGGAAGAATACAGGTACATATATAGATCATACAAATAAACCTAGGAAGAATACAGGTACATATAGATCATGCCAAGACACTTGGGGAGAATACAGGTATATATAGATCATGCCAAAGACACTTGGGGAGAATACAGGTATATATAGATGATACCAAGACACCTGGGAAGAATACAGGTACATATAGATCATACAAATAAACCTAGGAAGAATACAGGTACATATAGATCATGCCAAGA